AATACGATATGTAAACCAATCGATGTGGGAAATAAATTAGTCTTCCACCAACTTTTAGAATCCTTAATTTCTTTTTTAAAAAGCCTTAAGATATTGTAGTAACTCAATTACATAAATGTATTTTAAATTTTCAATATCCATGTAAGCAGTCCCACATGTCATACCAAAATGATAACCTGTTTAAAACAACTTAAAGGTCAGGGACTTAGCTCAGAGGCATAAGCACCTGCCTGGCAAGCACGAGGTTGTGAGTTTGATCCCCGGTACTAAATAAATAAATAAATAACTTTTTAAAAAGCAACTTAGAATGACACAAAGTTACTAAGAACTAGCATGACTTTCTTCAATGAGTAGAGCTTTTCCTATAGGCTAAAAGGTAAAGATTCTAAAAAACTCAAAGATCTGTAAAAAACCGTCAATCAGAGCCATAATTCAAGACAAGGGAAGACTGAAATGTTCCCTGCAGGACCAGGAAAGCACAAAATCCAACAAGTGTGCCGGGGTTCTCGCTGATGGGGGAAAGCACCTCCCACGTGACAAAGCTTCATCCACGGCAGACGGGTCCACGCCTCCCGGCTGTCCCGAGGACACAGGTCCATGGGAGCTCTCCTGGGAGGGGATAACACAGCTCTTCAGCATTTCAGTGGTATCTGTCCCTGCAGTCTCAGTGCAGTGCCTTACCGAGCACACTGTCTAAAGATACGAACAGACTGAAAGTGAGAAAAATGAATTTCAGTGCTCTCCAGAAACTATTCATATGTATTTGAAAGACTTAGATTTATGGCTCTTCCCTTGCTTTTTTATATTTCAGGGCCAAATTTCATGTTCCATTTTCAATATTCCAGATAGAATATGGAGATAGACTTGGCACTGCACAGGAGAGTCTATGAGAAATGGATTTCTACAAAAGAAGTTGAAAATCTATTCCCTGCTCATTGTGGACAGTGATGTGACCAGGATGAAAGGCTCGGAAGGGTCAAGGATCCTGTTGTATTCACACCAGCCGTCCCAGAGTGGTGCTGGCTCCCCAAAATGCCCCGCAGCTGCTGCGTGTGGCCCAGCCTAGGCTCAGCAGCACAGAGAAACTGCCTCACACAGGTCATTTCTTCTCCACAAGCTTGGGGATTCACAACGTGCATCTAAAATAAAGTCTATCCAGGGAATAACACCAATACACAAGTGACCGGATTCACGAGTTAAAGCTGGACACCACGCCCAACACAGCAGAAACTCCCTGTCCCTGGCTTGGTCCCAAGGAATGGAGGGGAACACTTACACCATGCAGACTACACTCAGGTCACACTCAAAGCAGCTGGAAAAGCTCCAATGCCCAGCCCCACGTACCTTTGGGGGGTTAGAAACAAGAAGACCCCAGAAGTGTCTCAAGAGCAAAACTGTCCAGTGTCACTGATTAAAGCAGAAACATCCCATAATCTGGTATTAAGACCACAGGAAATCAAAATAGACTCAGGTCACAGCACATGCCCATAAAAAGCTCTTGATTGGATTTCATAAAAAAATATTGATCTTGAGCTCTGAATCCTTTCACTCTGGCTACCATGCGTGACTGGGGTCAGTACTTGCCGTGCTGGAATTACTCTGAAGGCCTTGACCGAAGGCCTTCAGACATGAGGCACAGAAGCAACTTTATTTAAAGGATGTATCATAGCTGAGGGTGCTTACAAAGCACCCAAGACTAGGCTTACTGAAGGAGTAAAGATGTTGAAAAGAATAAACAAGGAGACTGTTGATTTCATCAAGGACTTTCTTAAAACTCACAATCAACATGACCATGTAAAGTTTTATTTATAACGGACTTGAGTAAATTAAACTTGCCTCTGTAGTGCTTAAGCATTAATGATATCAATGTGAGTGACCTTACTCACTGGAATTCACTATATAACCTTCCAAATATGACCTGAAGAAATAGTCCACTGAAAGGTATGCTTTGTCTTTGTCTTTGAATTAGTCACTGACTACCCTTTTATCTGTTAAATGGAGCTTTTGAGAACTGCAGGACTCAAAAGTAATATACAATGACATTACAAACACTATACAAATCTGTTCCAGATCTGAAAAACACAAGTGAACGGACTCTAAGGTCGTGAGCTGACCAAGGTTCTTCCACTGGCTGTAGGGACCTTCTGTTGGCTTCAAAGTTTATAAACCAACCTACACTTTTATGTTCAAAATGCTTCAAAAAGGCGTTTACTGAAATAAGCCCTAGTAGCAATACATTTCAGATTCTTGTTTGTAAGGAGCCTCCAGGGAAGGCTGTATTGGGGTTCTGGGAAGCCAGGAGATTCCAGAGGCACCAAGGAAACTCTGCTCCAACTCGCGGCCTAAGGCGTGGAGGAAAAAAGACTCAACTTCCAAGTGCTGCTTCTGTTGTCATTTGAGCCCATTTTGCCCCTTATTTCAGTTCTACAGAAAACTAGCTTCTGCCTCTCAACTGGGCCTTTCCTATAGCACAAATAGCTTTCGCTTGCAGAAGTCCTATTATCCATTAGCAAGCGTGTTTATTCTCGGTGAACAAGTGCCTCCCACTCCAAAGCACTGCACTGCCCTTACAGACCGGAGCCTTCTGACTGCTCTGAGATCAACACAAAGACATTCATTCTCCAAGCCTTGAGATGTTCGATTCAGGAGCCAAGACCCCGGCCATCAAAGAATTTGGAGGTTAGCCTCACAGAACAGAGCATCATGCCTGACTGTCTTCAGGTGCAAAAGCAGGAGGCAGAACTTGCATTGAAAAGAAAAAGAAACAGAAGCAAAGAGAAAAAAAGGGGATGACTTGCTGAAGAATGCAGGCAGAAGCCAGGGAGGAAGGGAATTTTCCTTTTGGGAACTTTATTGACATAATCAAAATAATGGGAAATATGAATGCCAGCTATTCAAGCCATAATTCAGCTCAGAGAAGCAGTGCTGAGAATCCCTCAGACGAAATCTTTGTTTCCTTTGGTTAATCATCACACAACCTTAGATCAAAAAATAATAATTAAGCATGCTTTAAAAAAAAAACTATCACACAACCTACCTATTTAAAAGCCGCCTTCTGAGGAAACCACACAATCTATCGTTTGGTACAATTCCCCTTGTGGAGGTATGCAAACCAGGTCAATTTCTGCCAGATTTCCATACCTGCCTTTTATCCCTTCCTTCTACACCTTGTTAAAGGTTTCAAACAGAGAAAGGGCCAGACCTCAGATACAAATAAAATAAACAACGCTTAGGTATCCGTGTCAACACTGACACCATTTACAGTCTGCCCCCTTTTCCTTGGGGTGGCGAGCCCTGTCAGCATTCATTACTTATTAAACAGGCTGCCATTCCCTTCCACGAGAAAGAGAGCAGAAAGACAGCAGACCGGCAGCAATGATTACCCTGGGCTGCTTCTCCTCCCCAGAATGGAACCCAAGGAAATCAATTGAAAACAACAGCAAACAGCCCCACAAGGTGCGGCCCCCTCCGAGCCAACACAGGCCGGGACATGCCATCCTTCACACCAGCGGCAGCGAAAAATAAAAAAATCTAGGGCTGCCACAGACACCTATTTCAGGGAAGCGAAGATGTTCGCAGCCTGGCAAACCCCACATTCCTCCACAAAACGCAAGCAGGCTGGCTGAGCTACATGGCTCCTTCCTGGAACACTCCTGGAAACCCTTTCAGAAAGGACCACTCTGAGCAGGCCAGGCGGGAGGCTGTCAGCATCTGCTTCCCCCGGCCAGTCTGGGGGTGGCTCCCTCCTCATTGGCAGGCACCCTCCAAAGCAGGGCACGGGAAAGGAGTCACTTAATCCTTAATACATTAAAAAAAAAAAATCTGGAGAAAAGTTTAAAGGGTTAAATGACACCTCGGTAAGATCACAGCGCAGAGACATGGGGAAAAAACCTATGAGAAAGCCAGCCAGGAATTCTTAGCAGCAAGGAGCGCTGCTATGCAGCGCTGCCTCCCCCAGATGTCAGGGCCCCGCACTGAAACCCAGCACCAGGACAGCGCCAGCAGCCTTCGCAGGGCCCTTGTGGAGAACAAGAATGCGCCCGCCCGCCAGCCGGGTGTTTGTCCTAAATAACCTTCACAGGGCCAGCCAACTGCTCCACACCTGGATCAGTCCCTAGGTAAGGGAGGTTCCCCAGACTTCTTCAGAGTAAGGAGGCGACTGGGTGGAGGTGGCAGGTCAACTAGTCACCCAAAGGTCCAGACAGACACAAAGCGCAATACACCTGTCCACGGAAAGGGATCTGGTGTGAGGTCAACGGTCCAGGACCGCCGGAACACAGCCCGGAACCGAGCTGGGCTGCACATGCTTCATGCAAGGCTGAGCAACGCGACCCAAACGGGCTGGATGTCTCTGCTTCCAGGGAGAGCGCCCGTCCCAGCCTGCCCTCTTCCCCAGCCTAAGATGGCCAGAAGAGGAGGTGCGCACCCCACCTTTGGGAAAAGAACAAAAGCAAATGCACCGCAGAGCTGACAATAATAAAAGCCCTGGCGCCCCCCCCCAACGGCCTCTCCACGGGGCTCCCCTCCTAGCCGCCCAGCTAACTCAGGCTCGGTGGCCTTGAATCAATTTCCACACCTCTGCCCCCCACGGGCAGGCTGGGGGCGACCAGAGGAGCCCGTGTCCCCTCTCCGGGCCGCTGGGAAGGGGCTTCTGGCCACTGTCACCAGCACCCCCGTCCCTCTTCTCCATGGGCACCAGCTCCCGCGCGGTCAGTGGCCGGCGCTTCTGTCCCCTCCTTCCCTCGGGAGGCCCTGGCTCCGGGCCCTCCATCCCAGCCCAGGCAGGTGCGGGTGCGGGTGCAGGTGCAGGACCGGAGCTGGCCTCACCCTCCTAGGAAGCCGGGGTTCGGCTCCCACTCAGGACCCGCGAAGCCGGCCGCGGAGCTGCGCCTGTCCTGCACCCGCACCCCGCCTGGGCCGGGGGTCCCCGGAGCCTTGCAGGGGGTGCAGAGGGAGTCAAGTCGGGTCGGGCGGTTAGGTCTGGCGCCGCGCTCACTTACGGAATCTGGCGCTGGTGCTGGGCTCCGGCGCGGCGGTGGTGGAGGCAGCAGCCGCGGCGTCCTGGAAGGGGGACAGGGTCCAGGCAGGGGTCGAGTCGTGGAGGTAGGAGGAGGTAGCGTGTGCCGCAGTGGGTCCGGAGGGTGCCGCCGGGGTGCCGGGGCTGCCGGGCGCCCGAGAGCTGGGGGAGCCGCCGCCCGAGGAGAAGGGGGCCGTGGAGGTGGCCGGGGCCGTCGGGGGCGCCACGGGGCCCCGCGCCGTGGTGGAGCGCGGGCTGGCCCTGATGGGCACCCGGTGGCCCGGGAAGCGCGTGGGCGCCCGCGTGATGGTGGTGAGGCGCGTGCTGATCCGGTTGGGCGTCCTGGAGGAGGCGGCGCCGCTGCCGCTGCCGCTGCTGCTCGCCCCAGGCCCGGCCGAGGGGGCGGCTGGGGGCGCGCTGGCGGCCGCCGTGGTGGTGGTGGTGGTGGTCTCCATGGCCTTGGGGAAGGAGCTGGGCTTGGAGAGGAAGAAGGGGTCCTGGCCCATCCCCTTGGAGCCCACCAGGTCGGTGGGCACGTACTCCTGGACGGAGCCCACCACGATCCATTTGAGCAGCATGAGGCTGAGCCCCAGGCCCACGAAGCCGATGAACAGCGGCACCACGCACAGCCACGTCTGCTGCCGGTTCCACACGATGCAGTCGCTGCAGCGTAACTCCCGGGGGGGCTCGGCCGCCCCTTCGCCGCCGCCGCCGTCCGGGCCCCCGCCCGCCGCCGCCGCGGTGCCCTCCTCGGCCGAGGCGGCGGCTGCAGACGCGGCGCCCGGCGGGGAGGCGGCGGCCGCGCCCTCGCTCATCCTAGGCGCCGGCTGCACCTTCGGCCCCGAGGGCCGCGCGAGGCTCGGCGCGCTCAGCTCGGCCGCGCGGGCTCCGGCGGGCGCGGGCGCAGGCGAAGCCGGGGCCGCATGCAAATCGGCTCCCCGCCCCCACGCCCCTCCCCCCGAGAGCGCGCGCGGCTGCGGGCGGGGGAGGGGCGCCGCGCGGGGGTGGGCCGGGCACGGAGGGAGGGAGGCGAGGGGCGGCGCGGCGAGGGCCCGGTCACGGAGCGGCGGCGGGGCGCGTGTGCAGCCCGCCGAGCGGCCTCCTGCGCGCCGGGGCCCCGCTGCCTCGGCCTCCGCTGCCCGCCGCCTGCGTGCGCCCGGGTCGCGCCGGCATCGCGAGCGCCGCGCCCGCAGCCCCGCCCGCCTCGCGCGCCTTCAGGGGCCCGGCCGGGCAGCCGCGGGGTGCCGGGCGCCGGGGAGCTGCATTCCGCCGCCGCTCGTCCTCCTCCGCCGCCGCCTCCTCCTGCGCTCCGCCGGCGAGGCGCACCTGCTCTGCCGATCTGCTGCCCCGCCCGGGTCGGGCTCCGCCGGGGACGCACGCGGCCGCGGGAGCCGCGGGGACGCACGGCGCGGGTGGAGCGGGCGGCACCGGTCCCGGGCGGGCGGCGTGGCCGAGGCGGCTCCGGGCGCGCGCAGTGCCGTGCGGGGCGGGCGGGCGCGGGTGTGCGGGCGCGGAGTCGCCGGCCGGCGGGCGCGGGCGGAGAGGCGCCTCCCACCGGCACGGATCGCGGGTCCTCGGCGCGCGCCGAGGAAGAAAAGACCCGAGCCGAGCCCGTGGAGCCGGCGGGAGCGCACGGCGGGGTCGGGGCTGCGCCGGCGGGGGCGCGCGGCCGGCCGAGCCCGCGAGCGGAGCCGCCTTCGCGGAGCTCCGGGAGACGCTGAGAGAGGCCGCGGCGGCTCAGACCTGGCCGGGCGCTCGGCTGGTTGGGAACGCTCCGAACAAAGGTGGGCTTTTGATGTGGCCGTGCGCGCAGGTAGGCGCGTCACCGGGCAGGGGCCCTAAGAGGTGACATGCGAAAGGGTTGGGGCTCGCTCGGCCTCGCAGTTCTGTGGCCCATTTCTCCCCGGTTGCAATGGCAGGTGCAGCGCGGTGCCGCCCGAGGACAGGACGGGCCGGCGAGGGAGAGGGAGGCGGAGGCGCGGATCAGGTTGGCGCGGGGTGTGCGGATGGCACACAGCCTTTCCTGCCAACTCCACTCGAATTTCCTAAAGTAGCAGCCGAGGAGATGCTTTCATTTCTGAGTTCCAAGGAAGAGAGGCTGACCGAGGCGGGCTCCCACTCCACCTCCAGACACGCGGGGGCAGACGATGGCGGAGTCCACGGTCCCCTTCCAGGAGGTGCTGTCCGCGAGGGTGAAGTTTTCAAGGCACCCATTGTAGTCACAGGTGAATGCCGAACCGGGCTCAGGGAACAGTGGAGAAGGGAGGACGCGTGGAACAGGACGCCCCTGGGGTTTGGTGCCTCCCGGAGTTCCATACACAGACATGGTTAATAAATTATTTTTTGATGGCAGTAATGCGGCTGTCACCTCTTTCAGCTGTAACACTGAGTCTTCCCTCACAGGAAAGCTTTATGCTTTCAGGCTGATGGCACATGCCTTGATCCAGTAGTGCTGAATTATGATGCTAAAAATTGCAAATGAAAAAATACCACAAACCCTTCAACTCCTCTTCCTTTGGCTTTCTAATGTGCATTGTGTTTGCAGAAAATTGACCCAGACTGTACCGTTTACTGCCAGCCTTTCTCCCTGGGCAAATATAAGCTTTCACACATGATAGTAGGGGCTGCTATCAGCATTTGAGGCAGAAAAATTACTTTTGCAAAGCATTCCTGGTTCATCTCCTGGTCTTCCCAGGCGCCCGTGGTCTCTCCCTTTTTCTCTGCCCACGGGAATAAGTGTGGTATGCAGGGAAACCAACTGTCACCTGGGCTGTGCTCCCCTCCCCACAGTGGTCACTCCATGCTGTCGTAGTGCTCCCTGAGGCCTTCCTCCCCGACCCTTCCACCTCTCCTTTCCTCTTGGTTTTAAGAGCTTACTCATGGTTCTCTGTTGAGCTGCTTTTTTCCCAGATCCGGAGCTACTGCTCTCCACTGCCTGGCAGCTGTTTTCAGGAGACATCATCAGGCAGGGGAGAGGAGAGCCCACTGCCTCCATAGTTTCCTGCCGAAGAGCAGGTCGTACCAGCCCATCCGAGAAGTTTGGCTGGTGTCACCATCATTAACTTGGGGTTTTACCATGGGGCTCTCCGGCAGCCTGAGGAAAGCCCTGAACTGGGTCCCTGAGGTGCTGTACAACTCTGAGCAGGGCCACATGGTCACCTCAGGGCACTAAAGCAGAAGGCTCAGTAGGAGCTTTAGGTGAAGACAGGCATTCAAGTCAGACCTCTGCCCTTTAGAGCCAGAAAAATCACTCTGGGCCAGTTTTCTCCACTGGGGCTGCTATCCCTGCACACAAGGTATTCATGAACTTGCATAGCTCAGGAAATTCACCTACCACACATGTTACACACCATTGTAGACACCTTCCTATAGATAAGGGTGTGCACTATTCTACAGAAGTGCAGATTTCCTTTCAGTGGCACCAAAACCCCCAGGGGAGGGGCCCAGTGTCCTTGCTGACTCCTTGCCCCTCAGCCCCAGTTTGGTTGATTGTCACTTCTATGCATACAGTGTGATTGTCCCAGATACCTTCACTGAACATTCTGTGACAAAGGCTCATGTTTAGAACCATAGGACTGAAAGTAATCTTAGTGGCCCAACTCCTCCAATCTGCAATCCCAGTGAAATTTCCCACCTCAGAAGTCATTTGGTCCAACGGGAGCTGCAGGCAAGTTGTTATTTCCTGGGAAAACCTATCCAGCTTGTTGCAAACGTACATCATAGCAGCTCTTCTTGTGAAGCCAAAACTCTGACTGCCTTACTCCTGTCTTTTGTCAATGCTCATTGTTACAGAAACCTTGTATGAATTATATGCCAGGCATGTGCGATACAACAGAGAACAAAATAAATGTCTCTACCTTGATAAATACTATAATTTAGGGGCAGAGACTGACAGTAAACAAATAAATTATATAATGTGTTGTAAAATGAAAAAAGTGTGGACAACAGAGAACATAGCCTTTTGGCACAATTACACAAGACATCTGTTTTCCAATTGCAGTGTCCCTAATCAATTTACTGTTCTCACTGAGACCTTGAGAACTTGACACTGCTATCAATGTGATAGAAAAGTCCCTGGGTAATGTAGTCACTTTAGAAACCAGTGTGTCCTGAAAAGTCTTAATATTATTTACGACACCCACTGAAATCATGTGTGTAGCTGGCATGATTTCTTTTTGTACCAGACACTGAGCTCATGGCCTTGCACTTGCCAGGCAGGCATGGTGCTGCTGACCTGGAGCCCAGCACTAGCCTGAGAACTTGTCTCACTTCAGAGAGTGCACATTTTACCAAGGATAAATAAAAGTCACCTTCTTCCATAAAGCTGCCTGTTCCCATGTTCCACTAGTGTGCCTAGAGACGTGCATTTTCAATAATTACGCTAATATTTATTCTTATTTTCCACAAGTAACCTTATTTGTTTCCTATGGACTTTTAGCATTTTGTGTGTAAGATCAACCCCAAAATGCACTAAAACATGTCCCCTGCAGGTCATACCAGTCATAACATCTTGAGAGACTCAATTGGACATGTAAAAAGCTACAGAGAAAAATCACAAAGTGCAAAGGCAGAGAATTTTAGTTTTCACAGCATCACAAAAGGGAATGGTAGCAGCATTCAGAGAACTGGTATTAGGAATATCACCAGCTCACACTATCACATAATAAGAAGTGCTGAGTCCCTCCAGAAAGATACAGAATTAGAAGTTTTGAATGAGAAAAATAATAGATACGAAATTTCTTACTTGGGAGTTTCCCAGTGACAATCTCTAAATTTCGAAACATGTTAAGAGCTAGGTAGATTCTCAGGAAGAGGATTTCTTTAGCAGAGGCTGTGCTGTGAGCTCAGAGCAGGAGGAGAGCAAACATGGAGCCTTGCTACTCCGTATATAGTGCAAGAGGACTGAGGAGAATCCTAGAGAGCTCAGCACAGGTCCCCTGGTTTTGGGACATTCCTCCTTGGGTTGGGAGGGCTGTAAAATCCTCCAAAACCTCAGCTCAGGGAGCAGGCTAAAATGGACCATAGCAGCAGAGGACACATTACGTATTCACCATTCCCAGAATGCATGAGGCCATCCTACAGCAAAAGCATCCGGATGAGATGTAGGACAAGAGCAGAGGAAACACAAAGGCGTGAAATGAACTGCAAAGTCAGTGTTATAGGATGTCAGTGCCCATAAATTCTTGTGTTGACTTCAAAGCACCTGATCTTGGTACCGACTTGGGTACTTAGTGGCACATCAGTGTTGCCGTTGCTACTTACCTGGTTTTGGTCTGTTCGTCACTATTTTGCCTTTTCATCCAGGCATCCTTCCCAAACACTGCTCGATGCTACTGTATTGTTTTTAGATCACTACAAAGTGCAGCCCGGATGTTTTGATATCATCTTAGTGTCATCGCGATTGGCAGGTGGGTAGATGGGCAGGTGGGTAGCTCGACAAGGCATGGATCGGGCTCCCTCAGAGGACCCAGTGACTTGGAAGGATCCAAGGAGGTGTCTTTTCCACATGCCCTGAGACAAAGGCGAGTTTCCGTTCCCTTTCCTCAGTGCAGAACATACTGTTCATTCACAAGCTCCTCAGCACTGCTACTTGGGGTGAGAGAAACTAAGCACAGACGAAAAGCAAAGCTCTCCATCTCTGGAATGCTTTTTCAGAACCAGGAAACACATTTTTGTCTCAAGCTTCATTATTCCTGAGAAAGGCAGCATAAATCAGCTGCATTCAGAAAGATTTGATGTGATTTCATGTTTGTATAAATAACACTCTGGCTTCATCTCACCTGTGTTTTCAAGAAAACTGCATTCTCCTCTCTCAGATTTGGGCATGAAACCTTTATAACACTCTGCAGGTGAAAACAAACATAATTTTCCAAAGTTCTCCACAGGTTTGCAGTGTGCCTTCACCAGAGGGGCTCCCTACTAACCTGTCCAGAGCACAGGCAGCCTTGGCAGCAGCGCTGACCCCCATGGCCCCTTTGCCCATGCCATCCCCACACTCTTCTTCTTGGTCTGTCCAGTAGAAGGTTAAGGTGTGTGATCCGAGACTCCTCCTCCCACTTGACACCTCTTCTAAGGACTGCTGGTGGTCTCTAAAGCTTCTAGGTACTCTGTACTCTACCTCTTACAGGCTGTCAGGAATTTATTCATGACATAGGTTAGTCACCAAGGAGAAAGAAGAGATGTTGCGATCAGGCAGATGTGAGTCTGACTTTTGAGAGGTTGTCACACAGCTGAAAAATGTTCACTGTGGTACACCCAGTGCATAGAGATAGGCGTCTTAGTGTGTGGTGGTGTAGTTCTGTGGGAGACCGAGGCAGGAGGTTCACAAGTGTGAACCCAATTTGGGTAACTGTTCAAGACGCTGTCTCACTATTTAAAAAGGGATTAGGCTGCAGCTCTGTGTGAAAGTTTTCAGTCTCTGGTACTGGAGGGAAAAGGCATCTCAGAGTCAGTCCCAAGTCATGTTTAATGAAAACAGTCTTTCCCTCTGTGGAGTATTGCTATAACTTGGGTGTAACATGGTGTCTCCCCAGAGTGCATACAGAAGGGCTTATCTCCCAGAGTGGTGTTGCTATGAGTGCTGTGGACCTTTAAGAGGTGGAGCCTCATGGAAAGTCCTTAGGTCATTGGGGGCGTGGCCTCAAAGGGGACTGTGGGACCTGTGTCACTGGATCTCTTTCTGTTTCTAGCTTCAGATGTGTGGCTTCAACACACATCCCTGCTTCCGCCATCCAGAATCCTCTCCAGAGGTCTAAATCAGTAAGACTTCCTGGGCTCAGGTTTAAACCTCTAAAACTGTGAAGAAAACAAACCATTTGCTCTTTATTAAGTTAGTGGCCTTGGGTGTTACACTGTAATAACAAACTGACAAAGGCAAGCGTTATCTAAGGAGCCTTCCTTTTCCTAAGAGTTTTGTAGGAGGTATTCTTAGGAGATGGGCCCCTCACTGCTGCTCTCCACCAGCTTCGGGGCCAAAGGCACAGTGTACAGCAGTGCCGTGAAATCCGCAGGGAAGAAGAGCACCTGGTCCCTCTTGTGTGCCTCCCACACCACCACCATGACAATTGTGAAAGGAGAAAGGTTTAATACCTCAGCAGATCCCATCCCTCTGGGTCTCTAAAAAAAGGTCATTTCAGAAGAAAACAACCTGCTTAGTACTTTTAAGTTGAGAAAGAAGAAAGGAATACACAAGCCAGTTTACTCAGAAAGAAACCACTGGACCATC